ACCATTCTTGCCTTTCTTTTCCTTCCTTTCTTGTTTTGCTGTGCTAAGGATCAAACCTGTGGCCTGCTGTGTGCTAAGCAGGTGTTCTGTCCTGCTTCTGTCCAAGAGTAGCTATTCTGATTTTTGTGATAATTGCTTTTTAAATTTATAGTTTAGCTTTACCTGTTTTTCAGCTAGTATTATTATTATTATTATTTATTATTATAATTCTTGGTACTGGGGATTGATCCCATAGGGGGCCCTACCACTCAACTATACCCATGCCCCCCTCTTTTTTATATTTCTTTTTCTTTTTTTGTCTTTTTGAGACAGGGTTTTGCTATGTTATCCAGTTCAGGCTGGCCTTGAACTCACTTTGTAGCCCAAGCAGGCCTCAAACTTGCAATGGTCCTCCTGCCTGAGCCTTCCCAAGTGCTGGAATTACGGGTGTGCAGCACCACATCCAGCTTTATTTTTAATTTCAAGGCAGAGTCTCACTATGTTCCCCAGGCTATCCTTGCACTTGCCATATTCCTTTCTCAGCTTTCTGAATAGCTCATATTATAGTTGTCTGTGACCATGCCTGATCTTACTGTGGTTTTATTTATATTTTTGAGATACTAGAGGTTAAACTACTGAGCTATATCCCTAGCCCTATTTTTTATTTTGAAGCAGATCCTGCTAAGTTGCCCAGGCTGAAACTTGGGATTCTCCTGCCTCAGCATTCTGAATTGCTGGGATTACAGATAGTGCACCAGTGCTGCCAGCTTAGTATGGTTTTAATTATACTTGATTTATTTATTTTTTAAATCAGATTTTATTCATGCATTTTAGCTGTACATATTGATCACATTCATCATAGAGAATTTGTACCTGTTCATGATATACATTGTTTTTTCCCCTCCTCCGCTTCCCTTTTACAAATGCTTTGTTTCCATGTTTTCCTTCTTTTCTAATTTCTTTTCACTTTTCACTTTTTTCCTTTCCCTCTTCCTTGTTCCCCTCTCCATTTTAACATTTTCTTCCTTTTTCACAATACCTGTTATACATTTTGGTCTTTATTTATACTTTCGATTTCTCATACCAGAGAAACAATGTGGTATTTACATGTGTGTCTGATTTATTTCACTTAAGAGTATGACCTCAAGGTGCATCCATTTTTCCTAGAAATATCTGAAGCATATCCTTTATGGCAGAGTAGTAGTCCATTCTATAAAAAATCCACATCTTTATCGATTCACCAGTTGATGGGCACTTGGGTTGTTTCCAAGATTTGGCTATTACAAACTGTACCACTATAAACATAGGTATGCATATGTTGCTGTGGTATCATGCTTTTAATTCTTTTGGGAAGATACACAGGAATATCTGGGTCAAAGGGAACCTCTAGTCCTAGTTTTTTGAGGAATCTCCACACTGATTTCCGCAGTGGTTGCACCAGTCTACACTCTCACAAACAGTGGAGAACGGTTCTTTTTCCCCCACAGCCCCACCAGCATTTGGTATTGGTTGATTTCTTGATGATAGCCATTCTTTCTGGGGTGAGATGGAATCTGTGCTGTTTAATTTGCATCTCTCAAATGACCAGTTGTGTTGAACATTTTTTCATATGTTTATTTGCTGTTTGTATGTCTTCATTTGAGAAGTATGTGTTCATTTCAGGTGCTCATTTTGGATTGGGTCTTTAAATTCGGGAGGTCTGATTTTTTTCAGTTCTTTATATATATTCTCAATAGTAATTCTTTGTCTGAGGAACAGCTGGTAAATATTTTTTCCCTCATTATGGGTTGTCTCTTCACTCTCTTGGTGGTTTCTCTTATTGTGCAAAAGCTTTTTAATAAGATGAGATCTCAGTTGTTAATTCTTTGTGATAGTTCCTGTGCAGTTCGAGTTTTATTCATAAAGTCTTTGTATACACCAATGTCCATAAGAGTTTTACCTTTAATCAGACTTTAAAAATATAATTTCAGTTACTTACATCTTATTACAGTAATAGTAATGTATAACCTGTGTTTCCCCACTATTATTTTTCTTTTTCTGTTAGTATTTGTCATCCTCTGTGTAACATATCAGGAGGCAGAGACTGAGCGCTTGAACCCAGGGCCTTTACGCTGGTGTACATCCACAGTTTTGTGTGTGTGTGGTTTTTAATTTGAGACAGGGTCTCACCAAGTCACTACATTGTCCAGACTAGGCTTAGGTTTGCAGAACTCCTCAGCCTCCCAGGATGCTGCGATTGCATGCATGGGCCCCCGTGCCTGGTTTTTATTTATTACAGATGTTAACTTTCTGTTTTTTAAGGTATTTGTCAGGTTTTTCTACTATTTTCCCTTCATACAAGTTATTGTTTTCTCCCTTGTAATAAGTACTTTGAAATTATGTAGCTGTCCTGTTCCCATCAAACTTTTATCTTAGTTTTAGCAATCATTGATAATTTTTTGCCTCATGTCTTTTTTCATCATCGTAATCATCATTCGATCATCTTAATGGTTGGAACTATAGTAAAAGGGAGGATTTCACTTCTCCTTTGTGTGTATTTATAGTATTTCAGTAATTCATTCTCTTTATTTTTTTTTCCGGTATCAGGAATTGAACTCACGACCTTGCACTTGCTGGGCAGGTGCTGTGCTGCTGAGCTAAATCCCCAGCCCCCATGTATTTTATTCTCTATGTGTTCTGTTACCATTACCTCTTTAAGTGTTTTTTTGCTACATTCTGTCTCCTTTTCTCTGGGGATTGCGGTTAATCTTATGTTAGATCTTTTCATTGTGTCCCATATGTCTCTTATACACATTTGTGTAGATCCCTTTTTCTTTCTGTGCTTTTTAATATATTAATCATAATATTGTAAATCTGTGCCTAAGGGCTGGGGATGTAGCTTAGTGCGAAAGCACTCGTCCATCATGAGTGAGACCCTGGCCTCACTCCCTAGTACTGGAAGTAAAAAAAAGTCTATGGTCCTTAACCTCCAGTATTGGAATCTCCCGTTTATTACTATAATGCCTCTTCTCCCACTTTTGGTCTTTTTTTTAATGTAGGAGAGCAGTTTGACAATTTGTTTATAAAGTTATAAAAACAATATTCCTAAGACTCCTTGAAGTGCAGTTTCTTATCTGTTACATTAGCCAATTTATTGCACATTTTTGCTATAATATACAGTCTTAAAATCTCAGGCTTATTTCTTGCTTATGTCACATTTTGCTTCCTAAATACCTGTAGTCATTCTGAATGATTATCATGTTCCAGACATCTAATTCCTTCTGGAATCTGGGATGAACGAGAATCCCTTATCAGGGATTATTAACCTCAAAGCCAAAATTAAAGAGAAGTAAGGAATGGCTTTTGAAAGTCTGCTGGGTTGAAGGTTCCATCATTTCTGCTCACAATCCAATGACTCAGACAAGTCTTGTGGCCAAACTTCTTGTGATGGATTAACTAATGGTCAACTTGTAACACCCAGCTGAACTGCATCTGTGGTACTGGGTGTGGAAGACCCACCTCAGGATTGTTGCAACAGCATAGAGAACTGGAGGGGAAGATGGTGTGCTGTTGATTCTCCTGGAGAAGCTTATTGTGCTAGTTTCTGTGATATGAACTCAGCTGTTCTCATCATTTGAGGAGCTCTGGTCCTTACCTTGAGCATTGCTTCCTGGCTCTAGTGCAGATCCCTCAGCCTGCTGGCACAGATCCTTCATCCTGCTGGCACAGACTTTCTAGCTTCTACCACTGACCTTTGGGCCTTCCCAGCACAGATCCTTGATACAGACTTGCATGAGACTTGCTCGTGGGCTCTAAGCCTCCAGCTGGACTCACGGAGAACACGGCCATGGGCTCTAGGTCTTCAGCTGGACTCATGCAGGACATTGCTGTGGGATCAAGGCCCTCAGCTGGATTCTCTGGGTCTCTAGTGAGTGGACAGACCACTTGCACTCTTCTGCATTTGACTTTTTGGGTGAATATTATAAAATAATCCTATAAATTATATGTCCTGTATTAATTGTTTCCCTTGTAAACCCTGACTGCAAGCCTTGTAGTTCATTATTTTGGAAAGAGTATTTACTGATTCTACAGGGTGGCATCACAAATTATGTGGCAAGGGTAGGAAGGGTTTAATCCTTTTTAAAAAATAATTTGGAACAATAATGCAATTTATCCTATGATCCTAAAGAAACTTCCAATTTTGAAGCAAAACTATGTGTATAAAGATATGAATACAAAATTATGAGTATAATAATTATTATGATAAATTATAAACCATTGTAAGGAATTTAATTGTATATTCAGCAAAATGTTAGTTTTTAAAATGATCATTGTATCTAGCAGCATAGGAAAATATACTTAATATAATGTTGTTATTCATTTTTTAATTTTGTATGTGTGTGTGTTTTTGAGACAGGTTCTCACTATGCAGTTCAGGCTGGCCTTGAGCTCACTTTGTAGCCCAGGCCGGTCTTGAACTTGCAAGGATCCTCCTGCCTCAGCCTCCCAGAGTGCTGCGATTACAGGCGTGTGCCACCACACCAAGCTTTAATACAATGTGAAATGAGAGCAGTGTGCAATGTTTTAACTGTAGCTATATACATGTGATGGCACATTTATAAGAAAACTGAAGACATGAAATTGATAGTAATTATCTTAGTATGATAGACTTACAAATTTTTTTATTTTGTTTTCAGTTTTAAACTTTTTGTAGTTGCTCTTACAATATAATTTTATCTTTATAATGTTATTTTTCATTCTAAGTTATACACATATATGAAAACAGTGTTGAAAAATACAGAAAAAGAGATTAAGATACTAATTTTGACTACATCTCCAAAACCCATCCCTATCAGTACTTTTGGTACATTAAAAAAAAAAAAAAACAGAGCTGGGCCTGGGGGTGTAGCTCAGTGGTAAAGTGCCTGTTTAGTGTATGCCGGGCCCTAGGTTCAAGCACAACCATGAAAAAAGGAAAAAGAAATTAGTAGTGTATGTTAAAAAATTTGAGGTTAACCTTGTCTTGTCATGTTTCATTTCAGGTCCTGAAAATCCTTGGTTGATTCAAGCTTATGTTTCAGCAGCTAAACATCCTTTTGCTTCTGTGGTAGCTCAGGAGGTTTTTCAGAGTGGAGTCATTCCTTCAGAAACTGACTTCCGTATCTACAGAGATTTTGGTAGCATTCCAGGTATTTTATCAGTGGTTACAGGCTATTGACAGTATTGATTTATCAAAAGTGGCCTTTACTCCTGGAAACTATGTGAGTAAACCGCATTTTCTGAGAACATATTCTTTTTATGAGAATGATCCTTTCTGGCTCTCTAGATTTCTTAGTGTTTTCCTTTTTTAGACTCCGTGCTAATTTAAATGTCTGCTTCCTGTGTATCTTCTTGTCTTACAGTGTGACAGGAGAGAGAACAGGTTCATATTTTATTCCCAAAAGATGATACCAGGGCCTCCTTGGGGTCTCTGCCCTGCCCTGTTGTCTTGCTTGCCAGCCCCTTTGCTGACAGGTATAGTGTAGGTCAGTGATGGCAAACCTTGTGTAGAATGAGAGCCAGCCAGGCGTGGTGGCGCACGCCTGTAATCGCAGCACTCAGAAAGCTGACACAGGAGGATCGCAGAGGCAGGAGGGTCGTTGAGACCAGCCTGGGCTGCAGAGTGAGCTCAGAAGTCAGCCTGAACTGCATAGCGAGTCCCTGTCTCAAAAAAGACAAAAAAAAAAAGAATGAGTGCCACACTCCATCCGAAAACCCACTTAATGCAACATGCCAACACTGCAGTTATACCTGAATACTGAGGTTTTAGTTTAGAAAAAACAACTCTACATTAAAATCTTTTGTCTTAAAAATACAGTGACATGTGTGCTATAGGTTTGCCACCACTGGCTTAGGTGAAGCTAAAATTTGGCTCTGGCTTGACAAAGATATAGATGGCAAAAGTTTTTTCTTTTTGTCCCTGGGAATGGAACCCAGGACCTTACGTGTGCTAGGCAAATGCTCTACCGCTGAGCTACAGCCCCCAGTCCTAGATGGCAAAGTTTCAGTGAGCACACAGACTCATTTGTTTGATGTATGATGTCTCCCTGTAGAATGTTGTACTTCCTTTATTATTGTGTATTGAACTGTGTACCATATCTATAGATTTTATAAGAATATTGAAGAGATTTGTCATTCATTCATTAACATGACAAAGCAATCAACCTACTTCTTTGACATTTTGTCTTTGTAGGAATTTAATACAGTGGTACCTTGGTTCACAAACTCAATTCTTTCTATAATTCTGGTTGCAAACCCAACTGAATGAGAATTGAATCAAATTTCCCATAAGGTTAACATTGAACCAAACCTTTGAATTTGATTCAGTTCTCATACAGCTTGTTTTGCAGCCAGAATCATGGAAAGAATCAAGCTCGTGAACCAAGCCACTGAGTAGGTCTTCATCTTCAAAGCAAAATGACTTTTTTTCCCTGTGTTTCAGGAATAGACTTAGCTTTCATTGAGAATGGATACATTTATCACACCAAGTATGACACAGCAGACAGAATTTCAACAGATTCCATTCAGAGAGCAGGTTGGTATTTCAAGTTTGAATTTTATTCTGTAAAATATAACCTAAAAATGTATAAATATTCTGCAGCGAGTGCATTAGAAAAGTGCTTTGTGATGGAATGAGTAGGGATTTGGAGTTTTGAGAGGTGAAGGCTTAAATTTTAGTTCTCTCTAGTTTAACTGTTCAGAATATACCCATAGTAATTATGAAAATTTGGAAAGGGAGTTATCCAGGTTTGTGGAAGATTGCTGAGCAATAAGAGTATAGCCAACACTGTAAATTGGAGGTAGTAGTAGGACACGAGAGGGGGCACTTTCCTTGGTGTGGAAAAGTTACATGGATCCGTGTTGGGTAGTGTGGGAGCAGGTGAGAACTTACATGACAGGGAGTTAAAGTGCTTTCCAGAGAGTTCTGGAAAAGTCAGGAGAGGCCAATCTGATACTCAGCCTTAAAGATTTGGTAGGATTTGGCCTGTGGAGGAAAGAGGACATTCCAAGTTACAATACAGCATGAAAAGAATGTGTTTGTAGGAGGCTGTCTTTGAGCAGTTGCTGGACTAGAATGAAATAGTATCTTCAGAAGTAGAGGGAAGTAGAGGGATGGCAGGAAGCTTTGCATATTCATATCCTTCCCAACTGTTCATTCAAATAGTAAATGGTTTGTTTTTGTGTTGTATAGTTCTACATTCAAATAACTTATTCAGCTTTTTTATCTTCCTTTACAAATAGGTGACAACATCTTAGCAGTGCTGAAATATTTAGCTACGTCTGATATGCTGGCTTTCTCTTCTGAGTATCGACACGGAAAGATGGTCTTCTTTGATGTGCTTGGCCTGTTTGTCATTGCCTACCCTAGTCGTGTTGGCTCAATAATAAACTACATGGTAGTGATGGCTGTTGTTTTGTACCTAGGTAAAAAACTGTTGCAGCCCAAACATAAGAGTAAGTATTCCCCTCTAAAGCTGCAACTATTGGCATGGTATAGGATTTGCTTAAAGTTTTTTAGTCAGCATGCCTGTATCTTCCCAGGTAGTTAAGAATCTTAGGAAAACAATGTTTGATTTATATTGTAAAAAACCCTTAAATGAATATTAGGTTGATGTGCTCTTATACTTTTAGGCTTCATGAGTAGACAGTTTTTATAAACTTCATAGAAATAACAGATAGAAAGCAATGAAAGATGGTTTGTATAGATTGACTTTTAATGAAAATTCCCATGAAAAGCTTTTTCCTGCTGGGCATGGTGGCGCACACCTATAATCTCAGCACTCAGGAGGCTGAGGCAGGAGGATTGCTGTGAGTTCAAGATCAGTCTGAACCTACATAGCGAGACCCTGTTTCAAACAACAAAAAACCTTTTTTACTTTATAGATCAGTAGTGTACTGTTTTGAAGCATGAATGAACTGCTTTTAATTAAATTGGTCCCTTCTGATTGAAATGTTTCTGCTTGATATATTTTAGACTCTTTAATTTGTCATGTGCTATTACAAAATAAAATATTCAGAACTAACTTAAATAATTCATTATCACTGTTTATTTTTTCCATGTCTGCATTTTCCTCTTAGCTTTTATTAGCAAAATTTTATATGAACCTTTTCCCTCCATTCTTGCTAATATTTTCATACATTAAATATTCCAAAGTTGATAAAGATTAAAACTACTCACTTGCTCAATAAGTGTTCCTTGAATATTATTCTTGGATATTTTCCCTGTCTCCAACCTAGGACATTCCAATACTTTTCAATTACGGTAGTGAATTTTTCACCATTTTCCCCTTTAACTGTACTGTTTATGTAATGGCTTTGATGTATATGTTGACTTCCAACTTTTTGTTTTCTCTTCATTAGCTGTTAACTACACAAAAGACTTCTTGTGTGGACTTGGCATAACTTTCATTAGCTGGTTCACCAGCCTTGTTACGGTTCTCATCATAGCAGTGTTCGTCTCTCTTATTGGACAGTCTCTTTCTTGGTACAACCACTTCTATGTCTCCATTTGTCTGTATGGAACAGCAGCTGCAGCCAAAATAATATTCATACACACCCTTGCAAAAAGATTCTATTTTGTGGTAAGTAATAGGCATATTTTTTTTCTGCTTTCAAAGACTAAAAAAAAGTCAAGTAGGATTAACTGTATTTGGTCTTTTGAGCTGTTAGAGATTGTTCAGTGTGTTTATAGAAAACACTCCCACAACTGTGTTATTTTGCCAGAAGGTTTCTTATTCCAAGAATCGTTCGGCAGAATTTAAGTGAGGTTCTAAAGCTGTGCTGTAAATAATGGTTAGGATGGTGGCTTTGTCTCTGCTGTGCTTGCTGCACTTTTTTGGTAACATGTTCTTGTATCTACCAGCCCACCTTGGACTCACGCAGTTACTTATGTGTGCGTACTGCTGTTCTCCTCTGGACTGTTAAGTTTCATGAGGGCAGGGATTGTTTTATTCAACATGTATTCCTTTGCTTAGGCAGTATCTGACACACAGAATTAACACACAGAAAGTACTTGTTGCTTAAAGGAATGTTGCACTTAGAATCTTTAATTTTTCTGTCATTTTCTTTCTTTTACCTGTGTGTTTGTTGATGGAGATTTTGTTTGATAGCATACATGTCGTTAAAGACACATTGCTAGGGAACAAGGTGAGACGAAAATGGTTCTAAATGATTTGTACTGAATGTTAGAGAATGCTGTCACATTGTTATGGTTTCAGTGGTATAAATTTGGTAAAAATATGAAGAATTAAGGTTATGAAATAACTAAAAATGAAATATACTAAGGAAGTTATAGTTTCTTGTTTTCTAAGAGAATTTAGGGGGAAGCTAGAAAATAAGATTTTGTCATTTAGTAGGAAAACTTGTAACACTGTATAGAGTGTTTTGGAATAGTGCAGGAATGTAAGGGATAAGTGAAGGTAAGGATGAAAATAGATTTGAGAGATATTTATTTTATCTTTGGTACAGTTTGAGTATTTTCTATAAAACATACTTTCTTCTTTTTTTTTTTTTTCCCAGGACTGGGGATTCAATCCACGGTGTCCGCACTGAGCTACATTCCCAGTCCCTACCCATTTTTGAGACAGTGTCTCACTAAGTCACTAAACTGCCCAGGTTGGGCTTGTTCTTGTTTTGTTTTTGAGACAGGATCTCTCTCTGTAGTTCAGGCTAGCCTTGAAGTTAGTGTGTAACCCAGGCTGGCCTTGAACGTGTGGCAGTTGTCCTCCCTCAGCCTCCAGGTGTGCACTGTCACACCTGGCTAAAGACCAAGCCTCTTGATTAACACTGGGTTGAACATTAAGTGTTAATAATTATAGCCTGTCTTTTAGTACGTAAGGAGTTTGTCAGATGAACTTTAACTTGTTCTGAAAATATGTGACAGAAACCTTTGAGCTCTTGAAATGAGTTCCGTTAAACACACATTGGGATAAACAGAAATGAGAAGGCAGAAGAAAAAGCAACTTAAAGACATCTATTTACAATTTGGTATTTATGCACTGTAATTATAACTTTCGCATTTGCATTGATAGCCTCACTCCTGCAAGTGTTAAAATGTATTTCATTAGGCAGCTTTTTTCCTCAAGAGTGCTGTCCGAGAGCTCTCTGATTTCAAAACCCTAAGTGCTTTTTTATTTTTTATTTATTTATTTATTTATTTTCTCCGGTACCGGGAACCGAACTCACGATGTTGCGCTTGCCAGGCAGGCACTTTGCCGCTGAGCTAAATCCCCAGCCCCTTTTTTATTTTTTTAGTTCACATATTATATGAAAGCTTCAGGAATACAAGAAGAGGGCAAAGGTGACCAGTTGGACATAGAAAAGACTCAGGAAAATCAAACTGCACCCAACATAGCCGTGAGGCGTGCCACGTGGACCTGCAGCAGTTGTTCATTTGCAGGCTGTTTGTCTGGTTTGCTTCTCAGCCTTTAGGAATTACACAAACAGGAAAAGCCTACAGAAATTGATGTTTTTAGGGACTCCTTTTATTTTGGAATATTTCCAAAGATTACTTTTAGCCCTGTGAGAGAAAAGCACAGATACTGCTTTCCTCCCATCTTGTGAAATTACCCTTCCTGTGCAGTAATTTTGAATGTACTCTGTAAGACAGAAGTTTGTTTACTTTGTTTAAAGCGCAGACTCTACTAAAACAAAATGTCGCTCATTTGTGACTAACCTGTAAACGAGACTGTTTATTTTTCTTTCTTTCAGAATGCGAGTGACCAGTACCTGGGAGAAGTATTTTTTGACATCTCACTGTTTGTGCATTGTAGTTTTCTTGTCATGTTCACTTACCAAGGACTTTGCTCAGCATTCATTAATGCCATCTGGGTAGCATTTCCTTTGCTCACAAAGCTCTGCGTCCACAAGGAGCTTAAGCAGCATGGTAGGGAAATTCGTTTTGATACAAATGAAAAATATTTTAAAGTATATAAGGCTTTCAGTGACTTCGTTTTGTGTAGCCTTTCCAAATAATAATAATAATAGTTATTATTATTTTTTGTTGTTGTTTTGAGACAGGGTCTTGCTGTGTAGTTCAGGCTGGTCTTAAATTCACTATGTAGCCCAGGCTGGCCTCAAACTCACACTGATCCTCCTGCCTCAGTCTCCTAAGTGCTTTTTTATTTTTGAGATGGGGTCTAACCATGTTTCTCAGGCTGGCCTTAAACTTGCAGTCCTTAAAATTTAGTCTTCTGAGTAGCTGGAATTACAGGAGTATTCCCGTGTATCCAAACCTTAAATTTTCATACCACATACATTTTTATCTTTCTTACATTTATGAACGCATACTAATATATTACTGGTGTATTTTAATTTTCATTTGTGTTTTGTCCTCTCTGAATGAAATTTTGTTATTTCAGTAGATAACATGTATTGAAGGGCAAGCGTCACATCTAACGTAGTCTCTGTTAGATGCCAAGACCCATCACTATAAAAGTCTGCATCTCAGGGTAGTGTCTCATAGATGCTTTTCCTTTCTCTTTTTCTAGGTGCCCAAGGAAAATTTATTGTCCTTTATCTTTTGGGGATGTTTATTCCTTATATTTATGGACTGTACCTCATCTGGGCAGTATTTGAGATGTTTACCCCTATCCTTGGGAGAAGTGGTTCAGAAATTCCACCTGATGTTGCGCTGGCAGTCATTTTGGCTGGTTGTACGATGATTCTCTCTTCTTATTTTGTAAGGAAAAAACATTTTGCTCTTTAAAGATATGAATATATGATGATTTCTACCATACCACATTGTATGAAATAATATTGCTTATATTTTAAGAAAGTCTTAAGCAAAAAAAAAAAAAAAAAAAAAACACCTGTCAGTTGAATGTCCCTGAAAAACCTTGAAAATGCTTTACTCTTATCCTGATAGCTTCAGCCTGACAAGCGCAAGGTCGTGAGTTCAGTTCCCGGTACCGGAGAAAAACCAAAAAAAAAAAAAAAATAAGGGGGGGAGTGGTTGTGCATCTTGTGGGCTCAGTATGGCAGGGATTGGTTTTTTTGTTGTTACTGTGGTTTTAATTTTTGCTCCTCATCCTCCCAAATCCCCGCATTAGACCCCTTTTCAAATAGCCTTTCAAACTGTCTAAGTGTGAATATGCAGAAGGCACACCGAATGAGAATTGTTGGAGATTCCCTTTAGAATGGTTCCTTAGAATGGCTTCTGAATATATTTCTTAGAGGTAAATGTTAGTAAATACATAGTAGTTTTATTAGTACCATTACAGCTGAGTGGGGAAGGAAAGCTAATTTCAGTAAGGCTTCTTAAAATTTGTACGGCATTGCTGTTATGTCAAAATTCATTAATTGCATTTGTCTCCTTGGGTGACACACAGTTATGATACCCAGATATGCCTTCCTTTACCAAGTAATAAAGTATATCACTGTCCTTGTCAGTCTTCAGTTTGCTGTGTCAGTTTTCTGTCCTGGTAGGGGAAAACTGCTGTCCTTGCTTTCCCCTTGGGAAACTCGAGAGGGCAGAAAAGATAGTGACACTGAGTTGAAGACTGGAATCCCCCGTCGGGGTTCTACTCTTGGTATGGTGTCCATACCTGCAGGTCTCAGGCTTTGCCGCTAGAGAAGGCAGGCTCTTCATTGTGTTATTTATGGGTAGTAATGTTAAAGATAGTGGCTTAATTAACAGAGTAAAACTGTTCTCCCTAGGTAATGGAGAATTAGAACTACAGTGCTTACGCAGAGAGCTTTTCTTTCAGTCCGTAGGAGTATAGTAAATATATTTTCTCAAAAGCAGTTAAATTTCTGTCAAGTTATCAGTTAATAGGTTTCCTAGGTTTCTGTTTGCTGGGTTGTCATGGTTATATCAAATTGACAGTGCTGAAATGGGACTGCTAATAGGAGTGGGATCAGAAGGAAGAGGTTTAGCTTGGCATGGTGGCATATTCCAGTAATCCCAGCTAAGGGAGGCTAAGATTGGAAGATTGCAAGTTTGAGCCCAGCCTGGGCAGTTCAGTGAGACTTGGTCTTGAAATAAAAAAACAAAATGGCTGGAGATGTAACTCAGTGGTAGAGTGCTTGTCTAGCACCTACCAGGTCCTCTGGTCAATCCTTAGTGCTGCGCCCCTCCCCCCAAAAAGGAGACCTGGCGAGAAACAGCTCAGGGCCATTAGCACACTACTGGACATTTCATTCCTTCTTGTGCTTCTCTTTGTTTTATTTTGCACTCCTTATGGACCTAAAGTATCTGGGTGTGGTGATGCATGCCTATAATCTTAGCACCCTGGGATGCTGAGGCCGGAGAATCACAAGTTCGAGCCTGGCCTAGACAATTTAGTAATTTTCTAAGGTCGTATCTCAGAATAAAAAAGGGTTGGTGATGTAGGTCAATACCCAGTCCAAAAACAAAAAAACTCTAAACCGACATAGGATGTAACATTTAGGGCAGAAGTAGAATTGGAAAAGTGACTAGTCTCTTCCTTCCTCTTGGTTCTCTGGTTGCCATTCTGTTTATCACTATTAGCAGACCCCTTTCAGAAGGGGAAAGAGGCTGAAGGTGAACCTACTGCTGTGGAGAAGAGGGACCTTGAATATGGAAATGATAGTGTAAAGTGAGATTTTATGACAGCTTTGGGACTGCCTGGCTTGAGAATGACAGAAACCACAGCATTATGACAGGGAGGTTTTCTCTTTTTAACTAAAAGATTGTTTTTTCTTAAACTTACAAACTTCCCAGTAGATGGGAAACGTAGGAGATAGACTTGTGACTCTTAGGAGGTAGAAAGTCAGACAGGGTTACAAATTTTGTTTTGCTAATTTACTGCTTTAAATCTTGGATGCTTTGTCATGTTGCTTTAATTGCAGTGTACAAACAAGATCTTTCACCTGAGAATGCTACTGTTTTGTTGGAGATTATCCCTGATAGACTGTTGGAACACTTTAGATAGGAAAATCATTTCACTTTGCATAGTAGAGTAGATTATGAATATTTGCTTAATCTTTCATTTTCTTCTTGATAAAAATATTCTTGCATTCATGTTATTTTCTACCTGTTGAACCTAGGTGGTACGCTGTTAGGTAAAGAAGGCAAAGTAGGATCTAGGTTTAGATCATTGTTTCTCAAAATGGCTTTTTTCAGATCATTTCAGACCCTGAAGGAAACTGTAACCCTATCTGTGAGTCTTTGGAGTCCTCTTCAGCTCTTAATTCAGTGACAAGTTAAATAATATTTAGTGTTTTGCGGAAGTCAGTCTTGAGACTGAGCCATTAACTTTTGCTGCCCAAACTCAGACTTGCTTTGATTGTGTTGACACTGGTTAACTTACGATCTAAAGGAACAGTATTACTTAGTAATAGTTTTTCTTCAAGTGCAGGTAAGTCCACAGGCAGTCTTGAAGGCATATCTAAATGCTAGTTTATATGAACCCAAGTCTTTTGCACAATATAGAAATATTGAGGAGAATCTGAGTTTTATTGAAACAAATCTGCGTAAGTTTAAAAAGTTTATATTTGGTAGTTGAGTTTTTATTTGTTTTTATTTTTTCTGTCCTGGGGATTGAAGCCAGGGCCTTGGCTTTGAGTTATATCCCCCTACCCCCATTTTAAAATTTATAATTATTTTTTATTATTATTATTTTTGGTACTGGAGGTTGAACCCAGCTTCTCTGTGTTGAGCTATGTCTCTATCCTTTTTTAAAAATTTTACTTTTGAGACAGGGTCTTGCTCAGTTGCCCAGTCAGAGCTTAAACTTCTAATCCTCCTGCCCCAGCCTGCCAAAGTGCTGGGATTACTGGGCGTGTGCCATTATGTCCAGCTTTTTTTTTTTTTTTTAATTTGAGGCAGTGTCTCACTAAGTTGCCTAAGGTGGGCTTGAATTTGCTAATTTCCTGCCTCAGCCTCCTAGAGTGTTAGGGTTAGAGATGTGTGACCATGCCTAGCCCATTTGGTAACTTAATGGAACTCTTGGTACCCTAAGTGGTGCCTGCTGTGAAGTGTTCACTATCAAGACCATTGATAAAATCAGATAAAATAAGGTTATGGCTTGGCTGGTGATGGATCTACATGCTGCATTCTCTTTGCTGATTGAGCACAAGAACATAGTGGTCGGTTTCTTTTTCCCTATTGCTTTCTGGCTGCCTGTCAGAAGGCACCGTCCTGGCCATTTGGAAGCATCTGTGATTTTTCTAGGCTTTGCTTGTGATGGAAATCCCGTAGAATTAGTGCTTTATGTTCACATGCTGATAAGTTGTCATCATTGTTTGTTGAATGGTACTTGTTATAAAATAAAGTTGGAAAAAACATCTATCTGAGGAAGGTGTGAAGGCACATGGCTGTAATCAGTACTCACTGAAGCTGAGGCAGAAGGGTCCCAAGTTCCAGTCCTGCCTGGGCAATGCAGTGAGACCCTGTTTCAAAATAAAAACATTCAAGGGCTGGAGGTGAAGCTGAGTGATAGAGTGCCGCGAGTTCAACCCCCAGGACAGATTTTGAAAAACATTTACAGATTGAAAAAAAAACCAAAACACGTTTCTGCCAGTAAATATGTAATTTTTCTATTTTTGTGTTTTAGGTGAACTTCATCTATCTTGCCAGAAGCACAAAGAAAACCATGCTGACTCTAACTGTGGTATGTGCAGTTACATTTCTCCTGGTTTGCAGTGGAACCTTTTTCCCATACAGCTCCAATCCTGCTAATCCAAAGCCAAAGAGAATGATTCTTCAGGTAAGAGCGATTCTGTGGGAAATTCAGGAGGGGAAATTTTCCTTGTTTGTTTTGAGCTTTAGTAGTGAATAGGAAACTTAAGGTAACTTCTGCTCTTGACCTGTTTGGTTTTCTGCTCTTTCCTATGTGAAGCAGTGAGGAAAAAGACTGACCGTGAAGGGGTATTCTTATTGATGAACATTTCTCCTAGGAGGCCGAGTTGGAAATACTTGTTTTAATACTTCTCAAATTATAAAATTGTACTTGTTTGGAAAAACAAGAGCAAATACATAGCTTTTAGGAAAACAGATTGTATAAATGTCTGCAGACTGAGTAAAGATCTTAACAATTAGCTGGCAAAATAAAATAAGACATTTTAAAATGCTGGTAAAATGGAGCTTAGGTGGATATGGTCATGCAAGCCTGTGGTCCTAGTACCTTGGGAGGCTGAGGCAGGAGGAATGATTGCAAGTTCAAGCCCAGCCAGGACAATTTATTGACTTAGGCAGTCTCAAAATTTAAAGTAAAGGCCAGGGATATAGTTGAGTACAAAGGTCCTGGGTCCAATTCCCAGTACCTAAATAAATAAGTAAGAATCAATAAAAGCACAAGTAACATTCACAATACGATGATGTGGTGATGAAACTAGCCTAATGCAGACAGGGATTAATTAAAATGAGATACAGAACTTCCAGTAGCCTTTTCTTCTTTTAGAGCTGGTACAAAACCTCAGCTTCATTTTCAGTCATCTGTGTTAAAGGTCGTAAATGGCCAAACGGAATTGTCAAAGGAGTCATAACCTGGGCAATTATTGAAGGACTGGAAAAGTTAAAAATAGTTAAGGTTTTGAAAATGGGCCAAAAAAAGGTCTTATTTTTAGTGCTGAGGGACGCTGGTATACTTTGTGACAACTTCTATAATTTGCAGTCTTTATGAAGAACAGATAGTATTTAGAAGGTTCATTGTGGTTTCTATTGGAATGCTAATTTTTGTAATCTTGTAATCTAGGAAGATTAGGAAAAGCCAGAAATTTTTTTTTTTTTTTTTCCCTCTGGTACCGGGAACTGAACTCACCACCTTGCACTTGCCAGGCAGGCGCTTTTGCCGCTGAGCTAAGTCCCCAGCCCAGAAATTTTTTTTTAAATCCTGCTCTAACTTGTTTTGAGGCTCTTTGGCTCTGTGCCAGAAGTTGACAAATTTTCCTATAAGGAATTTTCCTATAAGATAAAAAATACTTTAGGCCTTGTTAGCTACATAGTCTTTATTGCAGTTCATTTGTTTTATAGAGCAAATTAGCTATAGGTTAAACCTCAGCCAATGTGTGTGGCTGTGTTCCAATGAAACTTTATACAGTCAGTGGGTAATTTGGCCTCTTAGCTAGTTTACCTCTCCTTGCCATATGCAGCCTTTTTTCTTTGCCTGTTTGATTTTTTTTCAGGCTGGTTTCTGCTTTAACCACTTTAACAGCTTATCTCAAGCATCCTTGGGCAGCATGTTTGTTTAAGTACTATCTTGAGCATGGATTGCTTGGCAGGTGTCATTTCAACCAGTTGATTTTTGTATTGAATGCATTTGATGAAATTGTCATTTCTGTATTTCCTGTTATAAAAATTGGGGAAAATACGTGATTTTTTTTTGGTCATCTTGTGTTTAAATAATTGGATTGGTAAGTGGTTAATAAAAACTATTTCTTTGGAGCTTGGTGCTTTTTCAGGGAATTCTGTTAGGCACAAGCTTGTTACCTCCTGTTGGCGTTCGACTCCTGCTTTTCTCTGCATATGAATTAGCTTCATGTAACACAATCAAGGAAGTGATTTTGAATGTATAATGTGTGTAGGATGTACTATATTTGTTTTAAATCCTTTCTTAAAGGTATAAAAGTCATCTCTTTTAAGTCCTATTGGTTTTTTTTTTTTTTTTTTTTTCTTTTTGAGATGAGGTGTTGCTAAGGCTGCTCTTAAACTCCTGGGCAAGTGATCCTCTTGCCTTAGCCTCCTGAGTGGCTGGGACTACAAGTGTACATCACTGTACCCAGCCAAAATTTTTATTTAAAATTAAAATATAAAAATATCTTTGTTGATACAATAAGACAGTCACATATTTGTCATCCAGTTTAAAAAAATAAATCTCTAGCCATATCTTAGCCTAAGTATTCTTTTCTCATTGTGCCATAACTACATTTCTTGGTATGGTCATATTTTACTCAGTCTTTATTACTCTGGGCTGGGAATATAGAAAGTAGCTGAAACGGTGTTCTCATTAGTCTTGTTCTTTTCAGCATATGACCAGAACATTTCATGACTTAGAAGGAAACATAGTTAAAAGGGACTCTGGAATATGGATCAATGGGTTTGATTATACTGGAATGTCTCATATAACACCTCACATTCCTGAGATCAATGATACCATTCGAGCTCACTGTGAGGAGAATGCACCCCTTTGTGGGTTCCCATGGTATCTTCCAGTGCACTTTCTGATCAGGTTGGTTCACTGCTTTTCTGTATAAATTGGGGTTTAGCTTGTTGTCAAGTCCTATCAGTATCTTAGTACTCTATTATTTAAGCTGCTACTTTTAACCCTCAAGTCAGGTGCTGTTTATACTGTTTTCTGATCACTACAGAACAACTTCTTTAATGTATTGAAATTTAACTCAGGATAGTTTTGTTTTTTCAAATTTAAAAAGTCTTCTAGAATCCTGAGCACTTGGAAAGGGTGCTTACTCCTTACAAATGTGGTAGCTGTTTAGCATCAGTCTCAAATGGTTTTATTTCTGGGAAGTTCTTACAGTTTGGCAGTGAAGGACAGAATTAAAAGAGGTAGGATGTATAGTGGAAATCAAGATCATCTAGTGTTTCAGTGACTTTTTCTTATTGCTGGGACAAAATACCCAGAGCCACATTTTAAAGGAGGAGAGGATATTCTGGCTCACAGTTCTTTGAGGGTTCAGTCACAGCTGGCTGGCTGCAGGGGAGGAAGGGCCCGCTGCGGAGGAAAGCTGCTCAGTCTTGGCAGCCGGGAAGCGGAGAGGGAAGAGTGGGGAGGGAGACCCTTCAAGATCACACCCCCGGTCACCTCCCTATCCTGACCAAATCCTACCTGCGAAAAGCAGGTCTGCTGTAGTTCCGCATAACCCAGGTATTTTCTAAAGGCTGCACCTCCAGGACATACTTTTGGGAGGTATTTGTTACCTAGGTATAAGCATTACAATTATTATACAGTGATTATATGCACTACAGTTATGATACAGGCATTACAGGCATTACAGGTATTACATACCTACGTATTATAAAGTTGAGAAGGTTTTATTATAGCGTAACGTGTGGTTAAGAGAAGTTGGTGTCCTTTATCATATCTGTCAATTTGTTTGTTATTCAAAGATGTGTTCATGTATTCTAAACACTTCTGTGTAATGGATAGCTGTCAACTAAGAAGGCACCCTAAATATTGAAGCTACCTTTCCAATTAGGAAAAACTGGTATCTTCCTGCTCCAGATGTTTCTCCAAGAAATCCTGCTCATTTCAGACTTATATCCAAAGAACAGACACCTTGGGATTCTCTAAAGCTGACCTTTGAAGCAACGGGTAAGTCAGATGTCAGTTTTGCCTTCCTCCTTCCTTCCCTTGCTTTATGCTCACCGCTTCCTAGGTTCAGGCGCGCTGCCATAAACTACCAGCCAAACAACCCCCCACCCCCCAAAAAGTATTTATTTGTATTTTTTGAGTACCATAATAAATTTAAAAAATGGTGAGTCATCCACTTGCACAAACTGGGAGTGACTTGCCTTTGTTCAAATCTGTTTTTGGCTTTCAGGCTACAATTTTCTTCATGTAGATTTTGTTGCTGTTTATAACTTGGGTGCTTTCTCTCTCAATTATGCCCCCAACTAATTATTTTTTGTAGGTCTGGGGCAATTGATTTATTTTATATCCTACTACCTCACTGACTTTGATTTTTGGAGCTAGTTTAATAATTCATATTTCAGGATTCTCCAGGTGTATCAGGGATTGTGAAACTATTTTTGTAAAGGGCTGGATAGTAAATATTTTAGGTTTTGTCACACATATCTACATAACACATTCTTTTCTGTTTTTGTTAATCACGCTTTTGAGAATGTAAAAAACCATCTTTAATCTGAGGGTCGTACAAAGAATAGACTTCAGGTGGGGTTGACTACTCTGTATCAGCTACAAATATAGTTCTTCTAAACTAATTCTTAGAACCCTAATGATTTGAATTATTCGTAATTCTAACATGGTAGAGAAGACATTTAGAATATGGTACTTCTCGGTATAGAAGACATACAGTGAATAGTCTCGTTTTGTTCCTATTAGGGCAGAGGGCTGTGCTTTCCTACTTACGAGGCGCTGCCCTGAGGACTAAGGTGCACATTTTTACCATGTTCAGCAGGCAGTCATCAGTTGTCAGTTTCTTGAATTTGTAAAATCAAGAATGGATATTTAATTTTGTGAAAGCCTTTTTAAGCATCTGTGAATGTAATCATAGGATTTTTTGATCTTGGGTCTCTTAATGGTGATATCTTTCCCCAGTTCCTAACTTACAGTTTCCTTAATGTATGCTGGACTTTCTTTGCTAATGTTTCCTAATGTTACTTAGAAATTTTGCGTCACATATGAATAATATACGGGTTTTTTCTTCATCCTTTTTATTAGATTTAGGTGTCAGTGTTGTGTGTCATAAAAATAAATTAGTTATTTTTCACTTTCAATACCTTGAAACAATTTATGGAGCATTGGAATTATTTGGTTGAAAACTTAGTTTGAATTCTTTTTTTTTTTTTTTGGTTTGGTTTTTCTCCAGTACCGGGAACCAAACTCATGACCTTGCACTTGCCAGGCAGGCGCTTTGCTGCTGAGCTAAATCCCCAGCCCCTAGTTTGAATTCTTAAGTGAGAACATCTTAATTTCTTCTAGGAAAATTGGTCAGGCTAAACTGTGTTATTAGTTTTGGTAATTTGTATTTTCCTAGCAAAACATTTTTTCAGTTTTAGTAGTCTGTGTTTTCCTAGTAAAGTACTAGTTTCTTCTGGATTTTAAAATTTATTAGTATAAAGGCCATAAAATATTGTGAATGTGATTTAAAAAAATTTTTTTTTTTGGTTTTTCTCCGGTACCGGGAACTGAACTCACAACCTTGCACTTGCCAGGCAGGCGCTTTGCGGCTGAGCTAAATCCCCAGCCCCCTAAAAAATTTTTTTATTACATCTTTACTTTTTGTGTATTTGGGCTTTCTCTGTACCTTAGTGTTTGTCTTATTGTTACTAATTAAAAACAATTGGGTATTTGACTTTTGAAATTATATTTTTTTTGCTCTGTTCTCTATTTCATTTTGATACCATCTTGTATCTTCTGTAATTCCCTGTGTTTTCTTTTGATTACTTCACCTCCCCCCATCACCACCACTTCTTTTGAGACAGGGTCTCAATTTGAAATCCAGGCTGGCCTTGAATTCACAATCTTCCTGCCTCATCCTCCCAAGTGCTAGTATTAGGTGTGTACCACCATCCCTGGCTGTTGAAGTCATTTTTAGTTTTATGGCAAAAACTACTGCTGTGCGTTTTACTTTTACTTTTATCACTGCTTTATGTGTATCCAACGTGAGTTTTTTTATTTTTTGTTTTTGTGTTTTTCAAGTCAAGGTCTCATTATATAGTTCAGACTGGCCTTACACTCCCTGGATAGTCCAGGATGGACTTGAACTCAGTGATCCTCCTGCCACAGCCTCCTGGTGCTGGGAGTATAGAAACGCATTACCTGTATTTACAACGTTTTGATTTACGGGTTTACTGGGATGAATGAGGTGTGATCAATATGCAAGGGAAACATTTGTATTTAAAACTTCATTCCAGTAAAGATGTATTGCCCTTAGTTCCTCTCTGACTACCCTTCTTTGTTTTAAACACACTTAGCCTATCATTCATGCCTTTATGGAGCAATTTTGGAAGTTTTCATTGGTCACTAATTGCGCCGTCAAGGCTAGTTGATGTCCTGAAGTGATTCAAAACATTGGCCTTTTATGGTCATTTTGAATTTGGGGAAGAGCCAGAAGTTGCACGGTGCCAGATCTGGTGAATAAGGTGGATGAGGACACACTGTAAGGTGTTCACTTGACAGAAGTTGCTGTAAGCAGCTGAGAGCAGGGTGTGATGACCTGACAGTGAAGGCGCACCGCCGTGGGCCCCTCAGAGTGCTCCCCGTGCTTCACGTACCTCGTCGTTCCTGACAGTGCCTTCCACGTAGTAAGCTAAACAATTGCCATATTTTTGGTCATCCAGCATGCCTAGTCCAATCAGTATATACTGCATCTTTTTGCATCTCCTGTAGTGTGCCCCCCTCCCCCGGTACTGGAGATTAAATTCAAGGCCTGTGCATTGGGCTGACATCTCTAGTCCTTTTTAAAATTTTCTATTTTAAGACAAGTTGTCTTGAAGTTGCCCAGGCTGGGCTCCAACTCCAATCCTCCTGCCTCAACCTTTTAAGAGTACAGTAATGGGGCCATAGGTGTGTGCCACCATGCCTGCCTTCTGTTGTAGTTTTGCTTCATAAAGTAGTTGCTGTATCACTTGATGTGTATTCACAGTTTTTATATCCGCACTGTGAACTGTGACTGTTAGTATTTTAAAAGGTCTCTTATTTTTATGTTTAATGCTTTTTGTCTTCAGTGCTATTCTTTTTGGGTATTAGGTGGGCCTTTATAAAAACCACATCCAGCCAGGGCAAATGGTGCACACCTGTAATCCCAGCAACCCAGGAGGCTAAGGCAGGATCCTTGTAAGTTGAGGCCAACCTGAGCTACACAGTGAGATCAAGTCCAGCTTGAACTGCGTATCAAGGTGCTGTCCCAAAAAAGAAAATTATTTCCACTTGCGTCAGATACCTTTTTCATACTTTTTAACCTTTGCTGAGTTTTGTCTTTTTGAGACAGGGTTTCACTATGGAGCTCAGGCTGGCCTTGAACTCACTTGGTTGCCCAGGCTGGTCTCCAACTCCCAGTGACCCTCTACTTCAGCCTCTCTGCACTGGGATTGCAGGCGTGTGCCACCACACCTGGCCTTTTCTGAATTTGTTTCTTGAAGAGAGTGTATGATTATGCCCAGCTTTGTAAGCCGTTAAGCCATGCTGAAAATTTTTTCTTTCAGTGAGTAAGGTCTGTTTGCACTTATTTTTACGACTGATACATTTGGTCCCAATTGTCACAGTATTTTATATGTGTTGCTTTACTTGCAATACTCCTATTTCTATGACATAAATCTTCTTTGCTCTTTTATTAAAATTATTTTCTAAATTTCCAAGGTTCATGTTTATTTTAATCCTCTATTATTTGACCTCTTCCTTTTTTTTTTTTTTTTGATACTAGAGACTGAACCCAGAACCATTCCACTGAGCTATATCCCCAAGCCTTTTCTTAATTTGAGACAAGGTGTAAGTTACTCAGAATATGCACGAACTTGGAATCCTTGTGTCTCAGCCTCCCACAGTTCTAGGATTATAGGTGTGGGCCATCAAGCACAGTTTTTGTGTTGACTTGTAAATGCATTCTTTTAACTGTCACCTTTGCTTATTGTACTCCCCCTCTTCGGGTTCCATTACAACATGTGATAATTGCCTTCTGCTATCACCTCAGTATTTTAATAATGTATTTGGTGCTAAAATCCTAATTATGAATTCTGCTAAGTTTTTAGTGATCTCTTGGTTGGATGAAACTTGTCCTTAGCCTTCTGAACAGCGGCTCATGAGTACTGTGTTCCTGAATGTTTAAAATTGGTACTCTACAGCCTTGGTAACTGAAGGACAAGTGGTGGCTATAAAAACTTAGTTTGCACTTTCCAGTGTTTTTAAGAAATTATTCCCACTGTTGCCTTGTTTTGTGTACTGTTTTTGCAGTCTGATGCCAGTGTAACCTTCTTAGTCCTGTAAGGTATTTTATATTTTTTAGTGAAGATCATAATTTTTTGACTTAATAGTTTTACTTGAGTATATCTTTTAAGTTTTTCATTCTGAATTATTTTAAGGTTCTAGACAGGCTTTTTCAGTGTGTAGTCTGGTCTCTATTTCTGGAAATTTTTCTTAGATTACAGTTTTAAGTATTAGTTATGTTCCATTATTGTGCTTTACTTCTTTAGGGATACAAATTAAATAACTGTTGATTCTTTTTGACCTGACTCCAACTTTTTTTTTTTTTGAGATAGGGACTGTGCAGTGCAGGCCGGCCTTGAACTCACAGGGATCCTCCTGAGTGCTGGGATTGCAGGCGTGTGCACCACCACACCCAGCAACTTTATCCTGAGTGACCTTTTTTGACTGGCTTTTTCTGTTAGTATCTTTTTAGCCTTTCATGGTTTGTCGTTTGAGTTTACTTTGCTTTGGATGTTGTCTTCCTTTCTCATCACTGAGAAACATCACTGACACTCACAACTTAAAGGAGAGGTTTATTTTATCTCAGTTTGTAGCAGCTTCAGTTCGTAGGTAGTTGGCTCTAAGAAAGAGTGGCAGGGCAGCCAGAAGCAGAGAAAGATCAAGGAGGAGGGAGACGGACCCTTCCAGGCCACACCCGCAGTGACCCCCTCTCCCTCCCAACAGCACGTACCACCATAAACTCATCCCTAGTGTCATGAGCCTGTGCTCCAGGCATCTCCCCAGAGCCCGTGAGCGCGTGAGGTTCTGGGGACACGTAGCAATGCACAGGAACAGACACTTGGTCATCTAGTCTGCCTTTTCCACGTCTTTCTTGATTTCAGTCAGTTTCTCCTTACTTGATGTTTCTCTTTGTAGTTTGCATACATCTAAGATTCAGTTTCTATTAGTCACAGATTTTTCCATATCCCCAAATTTTTGAGAGTATTTTAGTTTGTCTTGGCATTTTCTTTTGCTTAATGGTTTTTTTTGAGATGTGTTGGTCCTGTTTCAGTTTTTTGTAGTAACTATGGATCTGTTTATCCTTTCCATCATTTTTCTGGTATTGGTAAGATTCTTAGCCAGTGTGTCCCTCTTCTGTTGGTACAGCAGATATTTTAAGTTTTAAATTTTGTTTTGATGTGGATGGCTTTTGTTGTCCAGTGTTATTTTGCAGGACAAGTTTGCCCTTTTTTGCTTCTCTCACCTTCACCAACCAAATGTTAAAGGATTCTACCCCCTTATTTTTTCCAGAAGCTTTGCATTTGAAAAATACTTCAAATAGTGTGTACTGTAGTGTCCCCTTAGATCTTTCTCCAGCTGGGCTCTGCAGCATGCTGAGATACAGGATGGGCTTACCTGGCTGGCATTTACTCGTCACAGAGCCTTGCCACAGGAACGGGGCGGGCATGAGCATGGGACATCCATGCCTCGGATTTCAAACTTCATCATTTCTTCAAAGTTGTGTTTTCCCTCGTAAGGTTAGCTGGTGGTTGTGGTTTTATGTTTTTTATTTCAGTTTAGCAGCCTTTGTTAGTTTCCTGGAAATTCTTGCTGCATTAAAGGAAAAAAACTAGTTAAAGAATATTTTAAGGTATTATGTGTCAAATCTGTCTGAAAATTACAATCCTATTCATTATCATCCTACTTAGTACTTTTATAGTACTTTGCAGTCTTCCAAGTACTTTTTCACATGCTTTTTCTAATATAATCCTCTCAAAAAATCTACCTCACAGATGAAAAAACTGACTCCAATTTATTACGCACATGCCTAGTGTCTTGTTGCAGTTGACAACATTTAACATAAGCTTTTGCATTTACATTCATTTCTGCTGTACGTCACTACTTAACCTTTTTGCTACACACTGAATGTCCAAACTGGTCAACCTGTATGGAGGGAGTACACTTAAAGTAAAATAAGGCATGAACCTTCATAGTATAATTTGGGTAGTGGTTAGCTGCTTTTCTTGTCGATGCTTTTCAAAAGCATACAGCTGTTTCTCCTCATCTTACAGGACCAAGTCATATGTCATTCTACGTTCGAGCCCACAAAGGAGCGACACTTTCTCAGTGGTCTCTTGGCAATGGCACCCCAGTCGCATGTAAAGAGGGTGACTATTTTGTATTTTATTCCCATGGCCTCCAGGCCTCTGTGTGGCAGTTCTGGATAGAAGTGCAGGTAGGCTTCTCCCAGCAGTTCTTGTTTCACTGAACCATGCCCTACATGGTATTTAGCCAGAACCCGTTTCAGTATGGCTTCAGAGAACTCGTTTTCTCCAGCAGGTCTCAGGAGAACAGCCTGAAGGAGGAATGGTCACTGTGGCTGTTGCTGCCCACTATCATTCCGGAGAAGACAACAGATCCTCCCACCTGGACGCTCTGAAAGAGAAGTTCCCAGATTGGGTATTTCCCTTTGCCTGGGTGTGCACCTACAGTCTCTTCGTGTTTTAATCTCGTGGATGAACTCTTAAGTACATGTCCAGTGGATACTCCATGTGATAGTTTCATCCCATGTTACATGGATATTTGTCGTGTAAGTCAATGAATTGTAATGAGCTTATGTTCAGAGCTTTCTAGGTTAAGGCTCTTTAGGGTCAAGCACTCTGTGGGCTAAACTGTCGAACAGTGAGGCATGGCCTTTTTGACACTTGAATACGCCACGTTTTTGGCACTTAAGCACATGTGGGTGCTGCCACTACACGCCATGGTATGTCGTTTTGTATGACCTCAAGGATAAAAGCAATAGACCACTTCAGTAGCTGACCCTCTAAAATCAAGAAAGGTATAGATAGTGATGGCAGACCTTCTAGAGCTTTCAATGACAACAGCCAGCCAGCGGTGCACACGTGCCATACGTAGGTTCACCAGGATTGATGTAAACTGTCAGACCACTATTGAGGCAAACAGTTTCTAACTAAAGCTCAAGATCATTTGTTGTGTCAGTGGATGGTGGGTAAAGAATATTTGCTAGGTAGGACTCCCATTCAGAGACAACTTTGAGTTCACTGGAAAGTGATTGTTCTGTGGACTATAGAAGCAGTGCTGGACCTCTGAGGCCCTTCCAGCTATACTTGCTCAGGCAGCCTCTAGAGCAGTGGTGTCAAACCTATGGCACGTGTCGCAGCTGGCTATTTACTGAAAGTTCTAAAAGGTTTGCCGACGCTGTTAGAGAGTATGCTTTGTGTCTGTGTCCCAAAACTTGGACCCCCGATGTACAACCAGGTCCTGAGCTTAGTGACTGAGTTTATCACTGAGACATTGCTGTGCTGCTGCTCTCCTGAGGTTTTCCTCTGAAAAGCACTTGTTCTCTTTTCTCTACCTTGCCAATTTGAGAAAGGGAACATGTGTTCAGCTACATTTCCCTCTGAGTTTTCACAGGTTCTTTTGGTTCAGCAAATTGTGCATGACTTGAAGTTCCTTTCCCAGAGCAGATTCTGGGGTGGGAAAAGAAGGTGAGGGTAATGGGGATGGAAAGCTATTGCAATTTAGGTATTTTTCCTTTTTGTTTCATAGGAGTCTTCTGTTATACAAGGTTGATCCTTTAGGGCATACTTTTATTGATGCACCTGGTCCCTCTTTTTTTTTCTAGCCAGTTGTTTTTGATAACTTATTGTCCAGTGGGACTAGCCTTCCTGAGACTTGAGGTTGTGGCCTGTAAGGGAATTAGACCATTGTACCTATAGCTGTTAGTGTCCATATCCTGTATAATGGCAGCATTAGGATTTAAAAGGTGCTTTTTCATCATTTTTAATATGGGGGCAGAGCTTGTTATCATAGTTGCACCTCTTGTAGCTTTTAGGATTCAGCAGTGATAGGGTTTGGTGAGATTAGTGGTAAACCAGGCTACAGTTTTTACCATGATGAAATGTAAAAAGTTTGATAATTTTTGAGCTTGTATTTGTTAAACAGTAAGAATGGGCCCTAGTTTTTCTTTTCCTTTTTTTTTTTTTTTTTTTTTAAGTAGACTTCTCAGGCAGTATGGAAAAAGAGGAATGCTTCTTGAAAGAGGCCCTCAGATCTGTTTGATTCCACAGCTTAGTAATTGTGCATCAAAGGAGAAAACTTTCCCAAAACTGCTTATGTGACTTACATGGTATATTTTAACTGCTCCTCAACTAACTGGGCCTATGCAAACAGCAAGGCTGCAGCCAAAGCTGAGTGTAACCTTATGTATTCTGGCTGTCACCTCCCAGAACTGACACTTCACAGTGGAGTCTTTGTTTTCTTGGACTTTGTAGAAACGGTATTTTATCCCTCTCATGTACTTCAAGTTTCTGGCTACATAATGTCAGTATTGTAACAGATACACTTAGCAGGGTTTATAGTTCATCAGAATCAGAGTTGTGGAAAGTAAGAGTAACGGTGCCTCAATGCATTTCATAATACACGCTTATGTACTGTCCCTGTGATTAATCTAAAAGAGACTGTTAGACACAGAAAAAGCAAAGCACCATGCTGGCAAACTGTATGAAAAACAAGGTGCTCCTTTTGATAGCTTTCCTTTGGGAAGAAAGACATTTCAGTAATAATCATGGTTTTCCTTTTTGCCTTTGAATATTTCCCCATGCAAACAATTCTGTTGATTAGCATTATGAAGCTTTGATATTTTGCAAAATCAGTAACAAGATGCTCACTTAGTCTTATGGCACTTAAGATCCGGGAAGATTGTTTTAATGCTAGAAATGGTCAAGTAACTACATGCAGTATTTATGGCTTTGTAATAAGCATGCAATCTGTCACAGCAGTCTTGAGATTAAGCCTGTTAGGTCTACCCTTTTAATCACTTACCCCAATTATGTACTGTTTTTTTTCCCCTTTTCTTTTTTGGTACCAGGAATTAAACTGAGGACCTCGCACTTGCCAGGCAGGCACTCAGCCACTGAACTATATCCCTGGCCCTCAGTCCAGTTACTTAAATATAACATGACCAAAAAGTACTTATTTTTATTTTGTTAATTTTTATAATACAATGGGGGAAGTATGAAAATGACAATTTTATCAAATTTATTCAATATGAGAATTGACTGATTGGAATAATACCTGTCCAAGCAATACTTGGCATATTCAGTACATAAACACGCAGCTCAAGTGACACTTGAGGCAAACTGTTAAGTGGTTATGATTATCTGACCACATGAATAACTTATTTCTCAGTCATTTCAAGGTCTAACAAATACATTTAAATTTTGTGGAAAATAATGTAAGTAGCACAGTACCACAAATTCAGGGAAAAGTATGAAGAACTGTCATTTCAAAGGAATTCTTATGTTTCATATAAGAGTGACTGCTGCATGGACTGTTTCCATAGTTCAGCAGATATAATTAAACATAGGGGGATTCACTAAGATACTACGAAGCAAGGGGCTACTTCAGACTGCTGACTAAGGAAGTGTGAATGTATCTTTCAGTAGTTTGCTGACTTACTGAGGATTAATTGTTGCCTTATAATGTTACTGAAATAAACTTAACATACTGGTTGTTATCTGTTAAACAGAGAAACATCTTTAACTGCTTACGTTTCATCCCCCTATTTCAAGTCTACACAGCCTTTTTAGTTGCTGTTAAAAGATACAGATGGCTCATGTGGGTATAACTGTTATTTTAATAAGTGATATGAACCAAAAACTCAACATGGAAATGTTTGTTTCCATCAGCTGGATACATCTCAATTTCACAGAAATTAAAATGACTTCCTTGGTAAATGGTGAACTTCATCATATGAATCATCTCCCTTGGCAGATGATATCACCAATGGACTGATTAAGAACGATGCTTCTTTAGGGGCAGAAGGAAGAAATTACTTTTCAGCCAGAGTGACCCCCTACTTATTCTGATTTTCCCCCAAGGGAAGGGCAGAAACAAAGCATGTACTTTGGATCCAAAGGTATTTTAAGTTTTTTAGTTTTCTGAATGAATTCCCTCAGAACAGCTCAACACAAAGTGAAACAAATAAGAAATATGCATTCCTAATATACCTCCACTTCTTTTAGATCCAGTAAAGCCAAGATACAATATGCCTTGTTATATTTGTTTTTACTTACTTGAAATAGAGAATTTTGGGACACACTGTGTCAAAAACATATTGATTATTAAACCGTTAACTTGTTGACAATTTCTTTTATCCAGTTTGGCCCTACAGCACAAACAATCAGGGCTCACCCTAGGAATGCAAGGTTGGTTCAACACTGGAAAACTGATCAGTGTGACACACCCACATTTGTAGAATTAAGAACAGAAACTAGATGATCGCTTCAATACATCTAAACCTTTCCATGATAAATAAAAATCTTCAACAAAATTAGAACTTAACTTGGTTAAGGTCATCTGTGAACATCAGATACAAACAGAAAAGACAAAAGACAAGATGATCTATCATGCCAGTTCTATTTCCTGGTGGCACTAGCCAGTTTCACAAAAGCAAGAAAGAAAAGGCATCCAGATTGGAAAGAAAAAGCTAAAACCATCTCTAGTTGCAAACAACATGACCATCTACATAGAAAATCTTGAGGAGGTCAAATAGTACACATGAAACCTTATTGTTAGCTTCAGTGGTGTTCATGACCCAATGTAAATATACAGAAGTCAATTGTATTTCTATACACAATCCAAAAATTAAAGAATTCCATAAACACATGGATACTTGTAATTAAGCCCAACAATATACCCATATATTTACAGTTTTTGATAATGAAAATAGTCTCAGGTAATTGAATATCCGTATGTAAATGCTGTCAGACCACTACTTCATACCATGTAAGTAACTCAAAGTAGATCAGAAATCTAACTAGAACTTGGGATTAGGCAATGTTTCCCCTAGCTATGACACCAAAAACAAAGGCAACCAATGAAGAAAAAATTCATCAGGAACAAGGCAAGTTTGTCAACTCTCAAAACTCATTCAGTATAGTTCCTGAAACTTTAGTTGGAACAGTTAGGCAAGAGAAAAATGAAGAAGTCAAATTATCTCTGCAGATAATATGGTTCTGTATGTAGAAGATTCCAGAGACTACCAACGACTTTTAGAGCTGATAAATGAATTCAGTGTAGCAGAATATAAAATCAACTTTAGAAGTCCAAATCCTTAGCATATACCAGGAAAGGACTAGTCTTTAATACACACCAAAAATGGACTAGCAGAGAAGGAAACTAGAAAAACAATTCTCTTCATAAAAGCTTCAAATAAGACACCTAGGGATGAACCTAACAAAACAGATGGACAGTCTTGACAATGAAAATTGCGCAACACTGAAGAAAGTGTTCTCAATCCCCTCATGCTCATGCATTGGCAGAATTAATACAGTCAAAATAGTCATTACCAAAAGCAACCTACAGCTTCAGTGCAATCTCATTCAAGAAACTAATGACATTCTTCACAGAATTAGGAAAAGTAATCCTAAAACTCATATGGAAACATGACCAACAAATAGCCAAAGCACTTCTAAGCAAAAAGAGCAAGGCTAGAGGCATCACAATATCCCTTTTAAAATTATACTACAAAACTACAGTAACAAAAACAGCATGGTACTGGCATGAAAATGGACATGTAGAGAAGTGGAACAGAATTAGAGGATGTAGGAACAAAATGTATGTTGGAGAAAAAGACAGCCTCTTTAAACAAACAGTGTTGGGAAAACTGGACGTCACTTGTAGAAGACAAACTGATCATCTCACTCTGTTACAAAAATAAGAAATTGATCAAAAACCTCTGAAACCTTCAAACTACTAACAGAAAACCCAAGGGAAATACTGGAAGCCATAGGAACAAGCAAAGACTTCCTGAATGGGACTACCAGTAGCACAGGAGATAATAGAAAGAATCAACAAGTGGGATTACATCAAATTTAGGTTTCTGCCCAGCAAGGAAAATGAAAAACATCCTGCAGAATGGGAGAAAATTTTTATTATGAGGATTAATATCTAGAATGTACAACAAACTTGAAAAACTTAAAGTACACATGACCAGTAAGTACATAAAAAAAGTTCAACATCCTTAGCCATTTGGTAAAATCAAATTGAAACTGAGAATCCATCTAACCGCACTCAAAATGGCAAATAAGTACAGTGGACCCCCGAAATGCACAGGGCTTACATTCCTAGAGCATCCACAAATTGTATAAAACACAGATTTCAGTTATGGTCAGAAAAATGACTAAATACCAATGTTTATGGCTTAAAACCTCAGTATGCTATGTCTTCTGAAGTTATGTAATTTCATACAATACTGTATTAATAAAGCCTTGGAACGTGCAGGGTGTTTGGTGGCTCTTTGGGATCTTAGGCCTTTAAAAACGAAACAGAACACTGGAGAGAGCTACAAGGTATTGCAACTTGTTAGAGTCGGAATGAATGCCGGTCCGTCTGCTGTAGCAGCCAATCATCAGCAAGGAGAACTGAGTAACACTGTTGCATTGGCTGCTTGCAAACCTGCCAGTAAAACACCTGTGGAGGATATCTGCAGTTTCTATGAAACTGTGGTAGTTTCTGTGAACAGTTATTAGTTCGGATGTAAGGAAAAAATAACTGTGACATCATGGGTATACTATATACAAATAGATGTTTAATATCTTTAATCATTTGCAAAATTCAAATCAGAACTACATTGAGATTCAGTCTCATCCAAGTGAAAATGGCTATCATCAAGAAATCAAGGCTGGGTGTAGTGGTGCATTCCTGTAATCCCAGCACTCAGGAGGCTGAGGCAGGAGGACTCCTGTTCGACGCCAGCCTGGGCTACACAGTGAGTTCAAGGCCAGCCTGAACAGCATAGTGAAACCCTGTCTCAGAAAGACCAAAAAAAAAAAAAAAAAAGCTACTGAGGATGCAAAGGTAAAATAAACCCTTCTACATGGCTGATTGATTAGTACAGCCACTATGGAAATCAGTATGAAGTGCACTCAAAAAAAAAATAGAACTACTGTACCTTTTGATCCATCTATATCACTTCTTGGTGTACAACTGAAGGAATTAAAGTCAGCGTACTATTGGGACATTCTGCTGGCATAAGGAACCAGCCTTATGGTTCCTTAACTGTGAGGAACGGGTAAAGACAATGTAGTGTAATACATATACAATGGACTATTAGTTAGCCATCAAGAAGAGTCCATGTTGAGTGAAACAAGCCAGACTCACAAATACCACATGCTCTCCCCAATATGTTGAATCTAAAAAATGCAATTAGACAAGAGAAAGGAAAATAGGGAGGGGAAGAACATGTAATGGTGGGTATGGGGGAATAATCATGAACAAAATACATGCATTGGAATACCTCCCACATGAAAGTAGGGCAAGGTGATAATTGAGGGAGTGGTTATCAAACTGCATTTACTAATCTAAAATGAAACCTATTAATCCATATAATCTATAAAAGTGAAAAATAAATTGGAATTAAAATGAAAAATCTATGTTTGAAAGGACACTAGACAAGATGAAATTTTTGCAAATCACATATCTGATACGGATTTGGTGTGCAGAATAAAGAATCCACGCATACTAATGACAAAAAGAAATAAATGACCTCATTTTTTTCTTCAAAGATCTACAACTAGCTAATAATTGTATGAACAGCTTTATATTAGCCCTTAAGCACAACAAAAATTACAGTGACATCTCCATTTCATACACAACTGGGATGGTTTTAATCAAAAAGACTGGACAAGATTTGGTAGTAGAGAATGGGACCTCTGTAACCTACTTTGTGAATATGAGTTTGGACACTCTGAAGTACAGTTTAGCATTTCTTCAAAAAGTTAACCAGTTACCATTATGACCTAGCAGTTCTATTCTGAGAGAGAAATGAACAGCTGTCCACAGAGAAATATATACGGTAGTGCAGATGCACTGTAAGAGTCCCCTAAAACTGGATAGTACTATAAACTTTGTCCTCTACATACATATACACACCCATGATAAAGTTTTAGGCACAGTGATTAACAAAATGGAACCATTACAAATATGTGCTGTAATAACAGTTATTTAAAACTATTACATTCTGTAATTTCTGTAATTTTTCACTTAATATTTTTGAACCTTGGTCAGGCTGACTGTAGGTAGGTGAAATGTCAGAAAGTGGAAACTGTAGATAAGGGGGAATTACTGTATGTGAATGTTCATAGTAGCGTTACTTACAATAACCAAAAAGTGGAAAAAACCCAAGTAAACCCGCAGCTGGCGGCTGGGGATTTAGCTCAGCAGCACAGCGCCTGCCTGGCAAGTGTGACGTCGTGAGTTCGATTCCTGGTACTGGAAAAAAAACAAAACAAAAACAAACGAAAAAAAAACCCTCAACTGCAGAATGGGTAAACACCCACACAATATATTATTCAACCTTACAGAAGAAACAAAATAGTGGCAAACAGGGATAAATGTTGAAAAAGATCAGATTTACAAATACAGGAAAATCATTTTGTAATCCTACATATTAAAAGATGGTATCTGATCTCCTGTATACATATGGTATACATACTTTTCTATAATTTCATTGTATTTGGAACATTTCGCACGCTATGAACACAACTGTTCTTACAGTAGTTATTAGGCACTTAGGATGCTGCCGACTCTTGATGTTTCCCATTCTAGATGTACATACAAGTCTTTTAAATAAATGTCTGAATTTGTAGCCATTTCCTAAGAACTCTAAAATGAAGAATCATAAAATGAAAAGTATATCCAACCGTGTTATTTTAGAATATTTGAGGCTTTTAATACCTACACTTTGTCATTAACCTAAGATAATAAACAGAAATTTGTACAATGGTTTTATTGCCCTTTACCAAGTAAAAAATACACATTACAGAAGAAGCAGCAATTTTAATTACAAGCAAATGTTGACTTTTTTTTTACCCACATGACATTTTGGTATCAGCTAATAATTTAAATGTATCTAGTAACCTTCAAATAATTACACTGAATATTTAAGTGCACTGGTTAAATTATGGCTTGAACAGTTTCTATGTATGTATATGAACCAAATGAGATAGCAAAGTAAAGTGAGCTTTTAAAAGTTGAAATATATATAAAACAAACTATTAGAGGGAAATTTTCTGTAACCTTGGCAATCTTCTTGCCTTGGTGGACATCCTATTTCTATTAATTGAAAGGTGAGTATTTTATATTAGAACTCCTATTTCTGTTAATTGAAAAGTTGAGTATTTTATAGAAGAGCAGTGTCACAGCCTAAACTGCAGAAGTAATGTTAACTTATTGGTGCCCTGCTTTCAAGAATGTGAGATAAACAGCAGTGTTTTATTTAGGATATCTGGAAAGATCACAACTGTTTATAAATGGTAAATCATTTTTATTGACTGAATGTTCACATGAAACAAAACTATAATACTGTTTCTTCTCCCCCCTAGTGCTTTAGGACAGCAGAAGAAATTTCAGTTTAGTTTCTTTCTGCATTGCATTATTTTTTTATCTTAAGATTTAGAGAAAGGTGGTTTAAACCAAAGATTTAAATAAAAAGGAGCACCAGAAGAACCAGGTACCAGTAGTCACATATTCTGCCCATTCAGGAGTTTTATTATGTGAAGTTATTGCACTTGTAATGTAAAAAGTAAATGATAGTAAATTACAAACTCAGTAATTATTTTCAATAGTTGATAAATTTTGAAATATGCAATTTCAAGGTGATTGAATTTCCTTTCAAAGGAAATCTGGTACAGACAACTAAACCTACCTATGTACTTTAAAAAGCAAGGATGGAGGACCAGGTTTTATTTCTAAACTGTAACTGCACTATGAAAAGAGAGGCTGTTTCACATAGTGGTATGAATTTGGTCCACATCTAATAGTTATAAAAATAAACACGTTTTTATAAAAAATTACATTGCATTCCTTGTTCAAATTGCACAGTACAAACAAGCTATCTAAATTAATACTGTTATTAGGTAATCAGAATTACATACAGTGGATATGTGTTCAGTTTGAAGCAATTAAGGAATATGTAGTACTGTTTTCATAATGTATGAAAACTAAAATTTAAGTCGTATTTAGAAATACATAAAATATTTTTAAAGTTTACAATGAAGAATGCATTCTTTACATACTTATTTTTTAGTAGCTGTGATAATACAGGATTCAGCTATGTATTTACATAAAAGTCCATTTTTATTCGATTTACAAAAGCAATAAATACGAAAGATTAATTTGAACAAAACCTGTTCCACTTCATGATCATTGGGACCGTTTCCATTACTTTATGACCAAGCCACTAAATCTGTCTTCCATTATGAAGGTGTTCATTTCTCGTAGGAAGTGGAAGCCCTGTCTTTACTCTAAGAGTATGTATCTATACTCATGCAGAATTCAGCATAAAACCTAACAAATTATAATACAAGCCTTAAAAATATGAACAGCGCCTTTGAGTATATTTACACAAGAGCATTTACAAAAAGGTGTAGTTTTTTGATACAAAATAGTTTAGTGGTATCAGCATAATTGATAACCCCTCATACCACTGCCTACATTGATCTGGTAAGAATCAAGCTTGCTAAAACAGGCACATTCATTGACAGGTAAATAAGCTTTCAGCAGTTCAGGTCTGAGGTTGAAGAGGCTAGTAAAGCCAAAGAGAATGTTTCCATTGCACTGGTGTAAGTGCAAGGATAGGCCTCTACTCAGAGAACCAAATAGGGAGTCCAGTGAGCTCTATCCAAGGAAGCAAACAGGTAGCTCAAGTGCTTAATGAGCTACAGCAAGCACCTTAGCATTTATTTTTTTAAAAGTCTAGACACATGCTGAACCATAAAACGTAAGCGAAACTAAGTTCTAAAAAAGTAAGCTCACCCAGGACAAAACTATCCCTATGGTTTACAAGCTACTAACCTTTGAATAAAACAGAAAACGTACACCTGTACAACAGTCTTTATTTCCACTGCAGCTTTAAAAAATTTTTTTATGAAACAGGTTTTATTTGATATCACTTTTTTGGAGTCCAGGAAGTTTCTCAGTTTATTAAAATGTAGTAAGACTTTAGCAAAGAGTCTCTGAGCTGAGTTCCTCCCCTTTTAAATCTTGCAGCTAAGGTTACAGTGCACTCGTTGCACCCTGCTGCTAGTTAGTTAATACTGCCTTTGCGATGTCACTGTTGTTAGGACACGGAACAGTCGTAAGTCCCATCTTGAAATGATTCCTCCTCGTCTGCTTGGGCAGTGTCTTCTTCCTTCCGGGTAACTGTACTGCTACCCCCAGCCTCACACTGGGGGATACTTCCATAGCCAGAGGAGCCCCTGTTCTCCTCTGCCCTAGGGCT